AATCTTTGCACACGATCACCTGACAGACAGAACAAATCTTTGCACACGATCACCTGACAGACAGAACAAATCTTTGCACACGATCACCTGACAGACAGAACAAATCTTTGCACACAATCACCTGACGTGGTTAGATAGAACAAATATATATATAACTAACACTGGTTTAGCGTGACACACAATTTTTTTAAGTATCTCTTTTTTTGTTTTTCTGCACTAGCTGACTATCAGAAACTACTGCAACAACAAAATTGTATTTCTAACTCTCCGTAATTCTACCCCACATCAGGGCATGGGGCACCAATAAAAAGAAACAAACTACTGCAACAACTACCACATTCTGTTTGTAACTCTCCGTTATACAACATCAGATCAGGGCGCCAACAACTACCACATTCTGTTTGTAACTCTCCGTTATACAACATCAGATCAGGGCGCCAACAACTACCACATTCTGTTTGTAACTCTCCGTTATACAACATCAGATCAGGGCACGCAGCACCAACAAAAAGAAACAACCCTGGATCCACCGGACAAACCTCATCGTAGAACTGGTCAGCTTCCTGTTTCCTCCTGGCAAACAGCTGGTCAAAGGCGGCGGGGCTGAAGGCGTTGCCCGGGGCGGGGGCGTGTGAGCGCTCACACAGACGTGCCCTGACCACACACTGCTCACCTCCGGGTACATCCAGCACGTAGTGAGCGGCACATTTGGTGCCTCGCTGAGCCGGGTTTACCGCCTCTGTCTCCCCTGGGGAGGAGGGATCAGTGTGAGGGGTCTACATCCTTTTTGACATGATTTAGGCCATTGGACCTATCAACTTTCTGGGACATAATTTATATCTTTGGGGCTATCAACTTTCTGGGATGCTTAAAGCAACATAACAGCCTTGAACATTCAGCTCTCACTGGACAAACAGCTGGCAAATGAGGCAAGGGTAGACCCAGAGCAATCCTCGTGAAAAACCGTCACAGATGGGTGATGGAGACAGACGACGATGATGTCATACTTTGTTTTTTACAGCACCAGAGATTAGAAATGAATGACGAACCACGATCACCGACGTCTGCTCCAGATTTGACACTTTTGTTGATGACGGAGGTGTCTGCAGGCCTGTGGTAAACAACTGCACTAGAAACTGTCAGGTCATGGGTTCAAACCCCAGCCCTAACCACACGTTGTGTTTTTTTAAAAATAATTTTACAGAGGTTTTCCTCCACTCTTGTTGGAATAGGTGCCCGCCTAAAGACAATGATAGACCTTGTCAGTACGTTAGTGGTCAATGATAGACCTTGTCAGTATGTTTGTGGTCAATGATAGACCTTGTCAGTATGTTAGTGGTCAATGATAGACCTTGTCAGTATGTTAGTGGTCAATGATAGAC